CTAATTTTACTTGCAAGGCTGTTCCCAAAATGCAATCGGAGCTTACATTAAGTATTGAGCAGCAAACTTGTGTTTTTCCAAAGTGATGAAGCTTTTGCATCTCATTGTACTAACTTAAATTGCATATCACGGCAGACATCTCAAAATACATAGTCTTCTGGGGGCTAAGCATATATTAATACATTTTGGTAGAGAGGAATATAGGCCTACTGTCATATAGGTTATGTTATCGGGCATCCTTCTAATTCCCTTGAACAACCAAGATTGATCTTTTGAACTCTTTATAATTTCTATTATCTAGTCCAGTTAAAGTCCAGGGGAGGAAGCCCCATCATAGTAAAGAGGACACTAATGTGATGTGTGTAGTTCTTCATAGCCTCTTCATTTTGCTCTCAAAGTGCACGGAATTGATGGATTTTTAACAGAATGTAGAAAAAAATTCTCCCGGGGGGGCATGCCCCCAGACCCCCCTAAAGGGGCTGTGTTCCCCTTGGGGCTAAGCCCCCCTTGTTCTTGAAACCTAGTGACGCCCCTGGGCTCAACCTTGTGAAGTATTCAAATTTGGATTCATGACATTCGTGACGTAGGCTTGAATTACATCGTTTGACAAATCTTTCTACTTTCAAGATTATGTGTTTTTGTGGGGTTTTTTTTTTTTTTTTGGAAGGAAATGTTCTTTTTTTTTGTGTGTAATGTGCGCAAACCTGGCAGCCCACTGATGTTATGACGCCGAATGCAGTGGCCACCACGAATTGTCATGGAAGGAGTTCCGAAGATTTTTACGTTTCTATTTAAGAATTATGTTTTGATCAAATCAGGGGAAAAAAGAACAGCAACATTCAAGGTTAGCAATTTAAAGATGAGACACAACAACTAACCTCCATCACTAGTCTTGTAACATAACCCTGCACAAATACTTTGTAACCGTACTTGAGTAGAATTTTCATGTACTGTATCTGTGGTTTACTGTGTTACACATCATTGTACAGATCCCGGGTACATTTTTCAAAACCATTTTTGCTACTCATTTACGAATAGCATTGTTCGTTGTCATGTTATGACCCTTTCAGAAACTGATATTGAAACACAAATTGTGCATCAACACATGTAGACAGACAATATTACAATGCTTCGAAAAACATTTACCGGTACTTTATCCCAGGGGTGTCCAAACTCAGTCTTCAAGGGCCAATGTTCTGCCAGTTTTCCATCTCTCCCTTCTGTAACACATTTTATTCAAAGAATCGGGATCGTTACCGTGCTTCTACAGAGCTTGCTGATGAGCTGATCCGTTGAATCAGGGAGCGATGGAAAACAGCCAGGACATCGACCCATGAGGACCAAGTTTGGTCACTGCCCTCCAAAAATAACAACTTTTATTGCAGTTTACTGAGTCACTCTAGGGGGAAAAGTTTTCTTTGTTGTTTCACGAGGACTGTTTTACACTGGCCAAGTTGCGTACCCCAGGAGTCGTAATATTATGTGCACAAGCAGTTTAATCCTGTACATTATATATAATTCTGTTATTACTATATGTCTTATAATACTGGATTATACAGTGCTGTTTCCTAAGGTGCCTTGCGATTGGTTGGCAACCGGTTCAGGGTGTCCCCCGCCTACTGCCAAAGACAGCTGGGATAGGCTCCAGCACCCGCCGCGACCCTAGTGAGGATCAAGCGGTTCGGAAAATGAATGAATGAATGAATTTTTCTTAAGGACAAGATATATTTATTTTTGGTCTATGAGGGAGGCTAAAATGAATTCATGGCATTTTTATTGAGTTCACTCAGAAAAGATGATTTGATAATGTTGTGAGTTAAGAGTGTGGTCATGGAACAAATTAAACTGGAACAAATCTCAAGGCACCACCGTCTACGTCATGACTGAGCAAGGTTGTACGACTTGATTTGTGACTTGCTTAACCCAAGAAGTGACTTGACTGGACTTGCTTGAGTTTTGCCACTCTAACTTGGGACTTGCTTGAAACTTTAACACAGTCGTAAGTTAAACTCTGGAAAAATTCCCCGTCTCAGCCGTCTTTCCCGTCTTTACATCTACTGTTGTGATGCGGCAGGTTTCGAGGAGGCCTCGACGTCACACACGGCCAAACGGGGACTGAATCAGTCTACACCAATTTTCATGGGAAGGAGATCATGTTCCATGTCTCCACCAAGCTGCCTTACACCGAGGGAGACTCCCAACAGGTATGATGATGCTGAGGTGAGCTAATTAATGCTTGCAGGCTAATGGTCTCAATTAACTAACTAACCGGTAAAGGACTCATGATATAGTGACCCGTGTTAGCTTGAGAATTGCAACAGAGGTTCTGTCACTGCACCAATGCTGGTGTTCTCCCTGCAAGATGTTGCGTTAGTGCCGTGAGACTCCCTGGTGTGCTTTATTAGTTTGTTGCCATGGTAACCCTCCAATTTGATATGAAATGGGCGGACACCTCACTTGGCCTGATTCTTGAGAGAGGAAAAAAAGGGGCAAAATGCGGAGCCATCATCCTATTACCTTCCCTAAGGTGCTTCTTGGGTTCTCACATGCCATTTTAAACACTGTATACTGGTGTGTGTGTGTGTGTGTGTGTGTGTGTGTGTGTGTGTGTGTGTGTGTGTGTGTGTGTGTGTGTGTGTTTTCATGTATATATACCGGTATATAATTTTTTTTCATGTACAGGATTTTAAAAAGACATTATGGATAATTGATAATTTATTGGCTTGTATACAAATTCGATCTCAAGTGCCTGCTCAGCCATCAAGTGTGAAATAAAACCGCAGAGGCAATCTTGTATCGACCTGTTTCTAACAATGTGCCGATAATGAGTGAGACGTTTCTGCGCTTCCCTTTGACTTTGTGGTGTTCATAATGCTCGCAAGATTCAACGAGATCCTTGATTTATCACGTGCCATGAATCCGACAGCAATTTGGCTTATTGGCTCAAATTGTGCTCCGAGTACGAACATTTCTACCCATTTATTCGTGAATGAGGCCAAATGTCTGGTGAAATTATGTCCTTTGTTGTTTTGAGTTCCCAAGAGGAGGAGGGCATGGTTCCTTGTGACACTGCCTAAAAACTTTGTCCAATTCTGTGCTCGCAGGCATTCCAAGCGAAAGCACTCCCATCTGTGAGGAGAAAATGAGAAGCGTGTTATTCACATGGCTGCATTGCGCGTTCATGGACATATGAAAGATGACAGCAAATCATGTCATTGCTGATGAAGCCTCCTGTGTTTCTTTCCCATTTTAGCCTCTAACGCTGCTTTCAAGGAAAATGTTCTCTTAATTTTGAGCCAAATTCAACAAGAATTTAATGTTGTACACCAAGGGTGGGTGTGCAAAGCATGTTTTTTTTTTTCTTATTCAAATGAACAATTTTACATATCTTACAGAAACGTTGTAACATTTTCTCATGTCATTTACAAATGACTTTTTGTTAACCTACCTGTAATTTACAAATGACCTGGCCCATTGGTTTGTTTGTAAAATTAAACAATGACCTTGAGAACAAAAGATTTTGCACGTGGATTCTAGCAAGATCTACATCCGTGCTTATAAATTACACTCCTATGTTGTACCCTGGCAGAATTTATGAAACAGCTGATTTTTCTTTTTGTAAATATGACTGATAACAGAATAATCCATCATTCTTGCGAGAATAATCTATCTATCTATCTAGCTAGCTTGATAGCTATCTAGCTAGCTAGCTAGCTATAATTTCTATTGACAAAAAACAGATGGGTCAAAAAGAACCCACTAACCCCAAAACCGCAGCCGCAACGGTCGTTTTCACCCAGCTGCATGGGTTGGTCGATTGTAACCCAACAGGTGACTTAAATATTTGACCCACATATTTGGTCAGATCAACTAATAATCTATTGAAATGGTGGGCTATATTAACCACTCCACAAGTGTAATTTAAAGACATTACAGTAGGGCGGCCCGGTGGGCCAGTGGTTAGGGCGTCAACCTCACAGTGCAGAGGTTGTGGGTTCGATCCCGGCTCTGGCCTTCCTGTGTGGAGTTTGCATGTTCTCCCCAGGCCTGCGCTGGTTTTCTCCGGGTACTCCGGTTTCCTCCCACATTCCAAAAACATGCACGGCAGGCTGATTGGACATTCTAAATTGTCCCTAGGTGTGAGTGTGAGCGCGGATGGTTGTTTGTCTCTGTGTGCCCTGCGAATGGCTGGCACCCCACCACCCTCCCCCACCGCACGACCCTTGTGAGGATAAAGCGGTTCAGAATATGGATGGGTGGATTTATTAAAGCACCCCCAAGTCAAGAATAACCAATTGTAATACGTGTCAGACAAAACACTTCATTGCATCAGTGCAAAACAACTAACTTGTAAGAGGATCAGTACATATTCAATAACAATTAACAGTAACATTGAGGTCAGCCAACAGCCTGCAAACACCACAAGCTTTTAATTCAATTTACAAGCACTGTCGAGTCTTCAACACTTAAGAAAAGTGGTACTGTAACTTTGGACACTCCTGGCATTTTATCGACAACTGTTTGTAGTACTTCCCACCGGTGTTGGCCCAACTTTGGGTCTTGATGAGTTGACCTTATTAAATAGATGCTCCACAATGTTTGGCTGAAAAAGAATGAAAGTGAGATTTTATGAGTAAGGACCGAATGTGCACAAATCAATTGAGACTCGTTCACTGGAAAAAATTGTCCATATTTTACAAATTCTGCAAGCACATGTAAATGTATGAGTACAACCGTACATCATCCCCAATATATGATATGTTGTAATACCCTCTTCGTGATTGTGCGTCATCCCCAGCTGCAGAGGAAGAGGCACATAGGCAACGACATTGTCGCCATCGTGTTCCAGGAAGAGAACACACCCTTCGTTCCCGACATGATCCAGTCCAACTTCCTCCACGCCTACGTGGTGGTCCAGGTGGAGGACGCGTGTACCGACAACGTCACATACAAGGTTAGTTTCTCCCGTGCTGACGTTCTTCGAGGATCGACCTCGCGACATACATCACCTGCCTTCCCATCAGGTGTCAGTGACAGCGAGGAATGACGTGCCCTTCTTCATGCCGGCCCTACCTGACCCGGCTATCTTCAGAAAGGTCAGTGATGGCATCACACCAGCAGGAAATCTGAACTCATCATGTAGCTTTTCATTTCTTCTTTTTCCCTTTTCAGGGCCCAGAGTTGCGCGAGTTCCTCTTCACGAAGCTCATTAATGCCGAGTACGCTTGCTACAAGGCGGAGAAGTTTGCCAAGCTGGAGGTGAGGCCGAGGCTGTGGCATTAAAACTAGTTCGAGGTGTAATCAAAATGGAAAGCACAGAGTTGTCTCCAAGTAAAAAAAAAAAAAAAAAAGCGATTTCAAGCAGTTGGAATGTCTTAAAAAAGAAACAAACAATGAGTGCACAGTCATTTAAAATACATTGTTTTGCAGTTTCGGCCTACCATACAGACAAGTCCGAATTTAGAGTGCCTCAATTTGGTCAATGTTGTATTTTTTCACAATCCTGTGCTATTGTTCTATTCCCGTGTGGGTTTGTATATTTTTAACAGATTATTGACCATACTTTAGTGTTGAAAATGGCTCACTCTCTTTCACAATGTACGGTTACTAGCGAAACAAATGTCATTTTTTTTGTTTCCTGAAAAGTGAACATTTTGGAGAGATGAGGAACACACGCGGCGCTGTTGGTATAAAATTCGAGAATGTTTAATATTTAAAAAGTATGTTTCCCAGAAACGTCAATTCTTTATGTGAATTCTTGCATACATTTTGACAATAGAGACTCTTTACGCTTTGCTTTTCATCACGTACGAATGAAATCAGATCAAACAAATTATAGTAAAACCATTTTATTGGTACAGCTTGGTGGCAGCCAGCTGAATCTTACCCAAACAAGGAAATGTACCATATATTTATCGAAGCTTATCCAACAATACACGACATTTTTGTTTTGCCATAAATGTACATCTGCACTGCTCTGAGGGCATTCATTTGCGATTCATAAAAAAATAAAAGCAGACATGACCACATGAAGGTGTCCCGGTGGTCGACTGGTTTGCGTGTCAGCCTCACAGTGCAGAAGTGCAGGGTTCGATTCCAGCTCTGGCCTTCCTGTGTGGAGTTTGCATGTTCTCCCCATGCCTGCGTGGGTTTGCTCCAGGTATTCCAGTTTTCTCCCACATTCCAAAAGCATGCATGGCAGGCTGATTGAATACTCTAAATTGTTCCCACGTGTGAGTGTGAGCACGGATGATTGCTCGTCTATGTGTGCCCTGTGATTGGCTGGCAACCAGTTCAGGGTGTACCACGCCTACTGCTCGGTAACAGCTGGGATAGGCTCCCACGACCCTTGTGAGGATATGCGGATCAGAAAATGGATGGATGGATGAATTCAACAAATAACTTTTTTCACTGTCTATCACAGATTTTCCCTTGTGGGGCTAAAAAATATTCCTGGCGAAAAACAGTCATAGCCTCCTGACTACCAGTAGTTCAAATTTGTCCTCTGTAGAGGACATTTGTGAACCTAAATATCTCCCACCCAGTGCCTCCAATCGCATTAACTCCTTTTATTACTCTAAAGAGGACATTCAGTGCTTTCCAATGATACCAAATTTGTAGTGGTTAGAAAAAGTAAGAAAATGGCTTCCCTCAGTGCAAGCACTTTTTATGGGAAGAGGAAAAGTAATACTTTTTATCGACCACATATTGTCTTGAAATGCTGTTGGCATTTTAATCATAAGACTCTTATGAACACGTTAAAGTGTTGTTTGAGTTGTTTTAAGTGTATTTGAGCCTGTTTAAAAAATGTAGTGGGATTTCAAAAACTTCTTTTGGAGGAGTCCAATTACTTCACATAGATTGGGGAATGTCAAAATAAATGTGATTGGACAACATTTTTTTTCCTGGTAGTCAGGAGGATAGTCCACCATTTCGTACATTTGTGAAAATGGGGCTTGTTTTCAGGAGCGCACCCGTTCAGCCCTTTTGGAGACCCTTTACGAGGAGCTGCACATCAACAGCCAGTCTATGATGGGCCTTGGCGGGGACGAAGACAAACTTGAGAATGGCGGCAGCGGAGGAGGTGGAGGCTTCTTCGAGTCCTTCAAGGTACGGTCTCGTCCTTTTTTTATTCCAATAAGGCGCAACCTCATCTGCATGAGTGAGAATGAGGAAGTTTGCAGATGCTTTTTTGCCTCCCTTCTCTCTCGGCCTGGGGATTCTGGGTATTCATTGGCGACAAAGCCGAGCGGACTAAATGGCTTTTGTATCTCAACGGACCAGGCCTGTGGCTCTTGATTTCTTCGCTTGGCTTGCGACGGATGTTTTTCTTTTTCTTTTTTTTTTGACATTATGTACCGGAGGCTCCCTGTCCTGACTGGCGGTGCTCCATCAGTCCATTTGGGCCACGGGAGCGCGTCCAAGCCGCCAGGCCGCAACCATGGGAGTTCTGATTGTGGATGCATGATAAACACTTTAATGGAGGCATTTTTCATGCATTTTCTTCCACACTTTAGAACAGTTCCCCGGGTGTCATAAAAACATGTTTGTGACATACTTTGGTCCAAATACGGTCATACTTTTCACACCTTGTTTGTGGGGGCTGGTCTCATGCAAGTACTGACTGTCCACAGTCAAACCTCTTTTCAACGTACCCCGTTTGCAACATTTTCACCCCGATAACTTTCACATTTCAAAGTCCCGATTTCACGTAATTCATTTCCCATTTGCCAATTTTGCTTTCAACGAACACCTTTATAACGTTGACTTCATTGTAACGACCAGATTTTTCCCACAAAATAGTGAAAAGGCCTTTGTGACACCGAATCATGGGAAGCTAACTTCCGCCGTGACCTTGCTTATGAACAAAATGTACATCATGGGATTCCCCTCCGTTGCCTAGCAACACTACTGATGGGCATTTTTGTACTCTTGAAGGGACAGCGCGGTCTTGAGCAAATCGTCTGATAACTTGTCTGGTAAACAGAAGCAAATCTCGCTGTCTGTGAAGGCTGAAATCATCTCTCATTTTCAAAATGGAGTCTCCCAGACGAAGCTCAGCCTAAACTACGAACTGGCAACAATTTCGACAGTAATGGCAACAGAATCATGGCAGCGTTTGAGGCCAACAGATTGAAAAATGATCGGAAACGGCTTCGGGGACTGGCACATCCTGGACTGCAGAAGGTTATGAAAAAAAAAAAAAAAAAAGGCAAGACAAGAAGTAAAACACAATCAAACAGATAATCCATGACATTTGCAGTAGTTTGATCTCAAAGTTTTGTTTGACTTTTGATCAACAGTATTTGGGACGTTTTAACTCCTATAGAAAGTACCCCAAAGCCCCCGCCCAAATGATGCAACCATTAATGTTCACCATCCGTTGACCGTATGTCCTCATGTCTCTCTGTATAGCGGGTCATCCGCAGCAGAAGCCAGTCAATGGATGCCATGGGCCTCAGTAGCAAGAAGTCACATACAGTCTCCACTAGTCACAGTGGCAGCTTTACCCACAATCTGGCCGAGAGCCCCAAAACATCCGGCATTGTAAGTAGCGTGCTGTGCTTCAGCGCAGGATGCACTACACTTTTATCTATCCACATGTCAGGGTTCCCACACAAATATGAAAAATATAGAAAAAGTGTTAAATTTGATTTTGTAACTATGCAGATGCAGGTTCGGAAAAGAATGAAATTAAACGTTTAAATGGAAAAATATTTGTTTCCAAAAATTATCACTGTTCTATTTTCAAAAACAAATTGACTCTCCAAGGCAAATGCAGTCCTCAAACACAGCAGTTAAAATAGGGCCATGCTCCTTCGCATGGGTGGCAGATATTCTTATTCAAAAAACACAACACAAAAAAATTGGGGTTTTTTTGGAGGCTGGAGCGGATTAATAAATTTCCATCCATTTGAATTTGGAGATTTTGAGTGTTTTGGGCACTGTCATAAAACAATTAAACTGGTATCTTAAGGCCCCACAATGTGTGTGTGTGTGTGTGTGTGTGTGTGTGTGTGTGCGTGCGTGCGTGCGTGCGTGCGTGCGTGCGTGCGTGCGTGTGTGTGTGTACTGTAGTGTATACTGTATATGGTTTCATTTTTCCACAGATAAATCATGACACTTAGTTAAAATAATTTTCAAGATGTGTCTACACATGCCGTGTGCATGAAACATGGTGGTGTTAATGTATTTTGAAGGACTATTAAATAGTCTTTTTTCCCCACAAATAAATAACGATTCTTAATCCAAATAATAGAGGTTGAAAAAACAAAATCAAATTATCTTTACAGATGCGATGTGCATAAATGTGCTGGTATTATGGAGAAGGTAAAATGCATTCTGAAGAAATATCAACTCTCCTAACGTCACGTGGTGATGACATCGACCGGCATGGTATCAAGGATGTGGCTCGTATTAGGACAAATGCATTTTGCCAATGATATTGAATAGTATTAGTGTAAGTAATTGATTTTATGTTACATACTTTGTAAAATCACCTTTACAGATGCCATGTGTGAAGCTTCCATTTTCAAAGATAACACAGCTGTTTAAATAAGTTGAGTTGATCTTATTTATTAATTCATTTTATTTATTTCTCAAAGAGAAGGGTCTGGACAAGAAGAATCTCGAAAAAGTACGGAATTTTAAAATCACAAATGTGAAGGAACCCTGACATGTAATAATCCCTGTTCTTTTTTAGGAATAGCAGAAAACTCAAATCAAAACCACCATTCAGTTCTCAATCCTCAGCAATTTATTGTGTGACACTGAAATCTTTAAAATTTTGATTTAAAATTGTCGCAGTGTGGGAATTTTCTGGTTGGGGCTATTTGATTACCCAGACTCCCTTGCTCCCCTCATCCTGTGTCTGCTGCTGCATGTGACACGTATATGCATGTCGCCTTACGATGTAGTACATGTGTGAATCAGAATAAAGCTTGGTGTCTGGGGTCACATGTGTTGTGTCTACCCAAGGGTTGCTTACTATCAAGGGTCCGGTTGCTCAATCTCAGGGGTCCTCATTTCAGATTAATGACTTGTCAGATTATGAACAATATGGCCTCGAGGTGTGCTTCATGCAAAAATTGACTATAATTATGACTTCACTTTTCACTACTGTGTAAGCATAAATTAGTGGCAGATGACATCAGCGTCTGATTTATGGGTTATTCATTTGTATTTAACATTTTCACTTGTCATACAAGTGTAAAAATTGGTTTGCAATCCTTGAGTACCACTTCAACCGGTGAAAAAAAATATATAGTAGCAACAACCTTGCCGGTGTTTCATGATCTGTGTGTCCAGCTGTGTATGTTTTTGTGTGTTGTACGCATGAGATTTTACAATGTGTTGTTTATTTTTGCTTTTCAACCTGCCATGTGTTTTCTTCTCTCCCACCCCATATTGCCTTTGTGTGCCTCAGTCATTGCTCGTCCCAGGGAAAAGTCCCGGTAAATACGGCCGGCGAGGCAGTGCCATAGGGATAGGAACAATAGAAGAGGTTCATGCTTCTTTCTCCCTTCTTGTTTAGTGTGTTTTTTCTCCATTTGTGTGTGCTCAGATACTGCAGCTAAGGTATCTCCCGTGTAATGTGACATTTTGACGGCTACCCTTGAATTTGCTTCTTTTTTTTTCATGCCACCGTAGGTCATTTTGTACTCCAGTTTAGACTGATAAAGGTTATTTTACATGAAGATAGCATCAGATGCCCTCAACAACTATTAGCCTAGCCTAGCATGTTGTGCTCATGCATTGAGTGTGTCTGACTGTCATCTCCCCATGTGGCAGTCCCTGATTATTCCTGGGAAAAGCCCCACCAGGAAGAAGTCAGGTCCCTTCAGTTCCCGCCGAAGCAGCGCCATTGGCATTGAGAACATCCAGGAGGTCCAAGAAAGAAGGTATCAATGACTCAATTAGCTGCAATAATATCAATCGTTTTTTACAGAGGATAAAGAATTTATGCCTGTTGCAAAGTTGGTTAGTTGTTTGAAATACACAATGTGTAATTTTCTTTGTCTGTTTAATTTCACAGTAAATTTCAACTGGGAATCAATAGTACTGTATCTTAAATTTGTGCTCACAAGTTAAACCCCCCAAAAATCGGCCTTCTATATGTTTTGCAAACCGGTACAAAATCAGCTTTACCGATGCCATGTTTTCTGTGCAGGCTGTGTCATGAATTAGATGGCATAAGGGTGGCACAGAGGGCTGTCATTGTCAAAATATTGACAGCTCCTTTTTTTTTTTAATCTGCTAGCATCAATATTTGAGGTGAGGTGTTTATTTTTTTTCAAATGAGCACAGCTGAGGCCACTATATGCAAAGATGTTACACTTTTACATGTATATTCATTTGTCAAAGGACAACAAGCTTTTTGGATGTATGCAACAAATTGACAGAGGTGAGGCATTTATTGGTTTTGTGACAATGTCGCTCTGCAGTCGAGACGTGTCGCCATGCACCCAAAGGACATCCGACAGCGGCCACATCTCCCAGGAAAATAAATCAGACAACTCGTCCAATCACAGCTCTCCTGAGTTTACCCCTGCCAAGAACAGGTAGCCTTTAATTTTAGTGCCTCTCATAACGCTTTGATTAAGAATAATCAATCGGCCCAAATGGGGATTCATATGAGTGGTCCAAGTGATGTAGGGCGTGTAGCTTGGTCATGTGTTGCAGGGCGCCATCCATCCCAGAGGCTCAGGACCTTTCCCGCTCCTCCTCCAACGCCAGCAGCTTCGCCAGCGTTGTGGAAGAACACGAGGCCGACGATGAGTACAATATGGGACCGGTGAGTGCCCTGAATGCCCTCTGGACCCAACATTAGGTCCATCTGCATGATGAACAGGGTGTGCACAAATGGGTAATTTGTAGAAAAAAAATCGTTATCGTGTTAAAATAATTCCTTTTATATTTTTTAAATTTGTTTAAAATAATATGTGGATCAATTCATGAAATTATATGTACATTACAAATAATAATTTACATTTCGCACCTCCCCATAGGAAAGTGAGTCGGCCACGACGCCGCTCAAGAGAGACTCTCTGGATGATGGATCGCTCAGTATGAGTCATACGGGCATCACAGGTGAGTATCTATGTAATGTACTAGTACCCTTATGTATGATATATACTGTGCATACATCATCAGTGTTGTCAGGCTAATGCAACTGTTTTATTTACTAATTGCAATACTGTAATATATGAATGTATATACTGTAGTACAAACATTCAACCAAATATCTATACATATTTGTTATTGTTCTTTTTGGTGCTATATTTGTTTGTGTGAACATGGGCTCTTTGTGTTTTTCTGTGTTTTGTTTTTCCATCATAGGATATATGTATACAGTGGATCCTCGTTTTTTTGTGATTAATCTGATCTAAAAAGTCTGACAAGAACCGACTCATATGAAAACTGAAACGTTTACCATGTGAAATGTTAATCTAGTGTCCCACTGAAAAATTTAATATTTTTTATCGAGAATAACTAGCTTTACAGACAGAAATGATGTGGAGGGGAAAAACATGTCAATGACTAATGAAATGACGAAATGAACATTTAAACCTTACTTTTACCATTGTTGAAGACTTTTCTTGCTGTATAGAAGACAGCGAGGAAGGGACCGATTGTTGATTGGAAAGGGATTTGCCTGGCCTTTCAATCCGCTAGCTAAATGCTAACGCTAAATAGTGTCTATATTGCAGTGCTGTAACCCTTGAAGCAACGGACTGAACACAAAACGGTGTAGACAACAACCCTACAGTCATTCTCTATCTGCAAAGAACGACTACAAATAGTACTGTATTGATGAGCTGAGAGGTGTTGACAATAGAGAGTTTAGATCACAGAACAAATTAAACATGTCTCGATCTCAAGGTCAAACTGTATTCATTTGTTTTTTTTTTTTTTTTTGTGTGTGTTTGATAAGCTTCACATCCTCCTTTGTATCGACTCCAACATCAAAGCGATGGACCTAAGGGACCTGAGTCAAAAGCGACAGACGGCCGTTCCAGGTCGGAGCATAAGTCCTCGGTATAAAGACGACCAGTCCTTTTCATAAGTTGATTTTTTTTTTTTTTTTTTAAATATGACTACTGCTGATATTTAACTGTTGTTTGTGTTTTCACACAGAACTGTTAGCCACACACCACTGACTCGCCGCATTCACGTCCATTATCAGGTTAGATGCTGCTTTCTCCTTCTTTGTCTTGACTCATTTCCTGTGTTATTTTACTTCTTCCGTGCCTCCCTTGGTTGAGTAGTCTGTCTTTGTAATTTACAGTACGAGTACGGCTGGGCGATTATATGATGGTGATTAGTAATTGGGATCAATTTCAGGTCAATCACAATGATTAGCTGGAACGTATTGATCAAAATTGGCGAAAATGTGCATCACAGGCAATTACAGTGGACCTTTTCTTGTGCCACTTTCGTTTGTAGTGTGATGCAGAAAGGATTTGTCTCAGTTCGTCTCAGGATTTATTTTGCTTTATCTGTAAAACACAAAGGTGTCACACCGCTGTTCTGAGATGATGTGTGGGTGTTCCAGGGTTCCCACGGCTCCTTAAAGCTCATAAAAATCCATAAAAAAGTTGTAAAATTATGTTCTTAATTGTCCTTAATTTTCAGGGAAAGCTTCTAAAGTCCATAAAAATTCGTAAGAAATTATTTTTATTCGAAAATAAATTGCATATAGCTGAGCGGGCATTAAATCCATTGTGAATCCCCTGCTGAATGGAGAAAAAGTCCTTAAAAAATGGCTAAATTAGCCCTCAAAAGTGCACCAGATGATGCATTACGGAGTGACCGTGCTCTGAGAAAGGGGCCTTTTTTTTACCCTTCTGCTTTTGTCTATTTCTTCTACAGCATTTCCTGGAGAGGCACCGCACCTCAGAACTGAGCGAATGGGTCGCATCGCCTCCTGTACCTGACCGAGGTCAAGTTTGAGACACGGTCGGTAGAACTTTGACGCAAGCATTCAGTTTGGATACAACAGCCGTCCCGACATCAACACCCCAACAAAAGCTCGGAGGATATCACATCAGGACCTTGTTCCTGCTCCTAAAAATCTTTTAAAGGCCACGCAGCAGCATCACCAGTGCGTCACTGCGCAACTTCATCCTGGTTTTGAAGATTTAAAGTGAGAGAAACTGAAAGACAGATTTTTTTTTTGAGCTGACTTCGGTTTGTTGACCTGCTGAGCGTAACTGTGACGCCCTTGTTTTACATTCATCTGACGAATCAACAGCATTTCTCACTTGGCTTCCTTCAGGATTGAGGCCACTTGCTCGAACGACAACAAAAGCATTTAAAACTTAATATGTCTTGAAAAAGGTACACAGTTATCTCAATGTAGACTCCATTAATGGTATAATGGCAGTTTAAAAAAAAAAAAAGTCATATTTACTGTGGTGCCTCAACCAGCATCAAAGCATTTTCAACCGTTTGTGTTAGATTTTGCGAGTGTGACTGTGCATGGTGTCAACATGCTAGAGATAAAAAAACAAAACAACAACAAAAAAACAAGAAAAAATCCTCTGGTGCCGCATTGGTTGTACCTGTGATCCCCATTTTATTCATCTCAGCGTGCAATGTAAACACATTTTTTTAAACTCTGCAGTGTCAAAGAGTTGCAACATATTGGGAGCCGTTGGATCATTTATTTGTTATTCTGCTTGTGCACTGAATTATCCATGAACTACAGTACTAGTACGCTCTTTGTCCTCACTAATAAGACAAATTAGTACACTACTGATTTTTTTTTTACTACTGTATGACATTTCTGTGCACTGCCTACAAACATTTTGTTCACGCAACGTTCTGAGAACATCACGCTTCCTGGTGGTTTACGTTTGGTTGGATTTAGCTGCCCCTTGGTCGCAATGGCAACTTTTTGTAACGTTCTCCGATCATTACGTTTTGGCAATATACATGTACTTGCTTCGACTAATGTTCCCCTTTGCTGTTTTCTCAGTTACCGACAGATTTGGTTCCTTAAGTTGTTGTGGGTTATGAACTTCTTGTTCCTTAATCAGTAATATGTTATGTCACCGGGAGTACTTGTAGAAAACAAATATGTGAACAAGTGCAGAGTTTAGCTTCACTTGTAACTTTAGTTCCACAGTACTTGTGCGAAGAAATGTCATGCAGTCGTGGAAGGCAGCAGTGGAAAGTCGTGTGCCACTTGTTCATGGACAGCCAAGTGCACTAGTGGGATATCAAATAAACGTTCAAATGGCTTTCCATAGGAACTCCTTAATTTTGTGTTTGTCAAGTGGATTTTTTGGAACAACACTGTGACTAATCTTGAGGTTGCCTTTCCAAATGATTGTGTCTTGTGAGTGCTCGTTTTTCTGGAGGTTCCTGAATGTAACACACAAGGCACATCATGCTCCCTTTTGCGGATCTACTGTACTTTCCCCCATTTTGTGTAAAACGGTTTGACAAATGTAAAAAGGTTTGACAAATGCAGGGGGAAAAAAACGCTCAAATGATTGAGCTCAAACTTTGATTTTACTTGAACTGAACCTGCTCAATTGAAGCGTAGATGGCTTGCGCCTCCTTGTGGCTGAACAAAATAGCACATCCATGCGTCTGGCCTGTGCTTTTTACAGTGGTCGATCCGAAAAGTGCGCTCTGTTTTAAAATGATTGTACTTCTGTCATCGTCTGCTTCTTGAAAGGTCTCGCTTGTACATATAGTATTACTTTGCATCCTCATTGTAAATAAAGACAACAGAGATGTTTAATGAAATAAAAGACCATCGCAGTGAAATGTCCCAGTACTGGGCTGCTCAATTCACATGTCCAGGTTCCACCACTTGAAGTCAAACCCTTCCCTGCGCACGTTGGAGCCGCAGTGGACCTCACCCAGGAGCCGGTGGTAGGAGGCGAAGTCGTCAATGAAGGTACAGGTGAGTCCCAGGCCCTCCATCAGGGAGCACATCTCCGCCTCCAGGGCGCAGCGGCCGTTCACCTTGGGGCCGAAGGGCTTGGGAATGCCCAGACTTTTCCCCAGCACGATCATATTCACCTGGATAATATACAATATACAATATAATATGCTTCTTGAGCCATGGGCTATTTTAAAGGGGAAGTCAATCCAATAATGTTCTTGATAAGAATATGTTTTATGCTGTAACACGGGATTCTGATTAACATTGCATTTGTGGAATTTGAGTGAAGCAGTAAAATTCACATGTTTTTGTCCATCTCAGGGGGTGGACATTTTGCCGCTTGCTGCCGACTGAAAATGACCAGGGCTCAGGTAATGATCAATCATGGCTCAGCTTCACAAGACAGTGAAAAGTGTGTCACATAATGTACATGTAGTCATACATGCTGGAAATCTGCATTACAATGACAAAATAGAGAAGTTGCTTCAACATCATGTCAGGCAGTGCATGTTAGGCTGCTTTGTACGTCATTCTAAAACATTTTTTCTTATGTTGAGAAAAAAAGATGGATTCTTTGGAAGAGGTGATTGTTCTAAATTATCGATCGTTGCTGCTTTTTGGCTGCATTTCCATGAATACAGACAAAGTGAGTAATTCATTGTCATTGCTATGTTTATGCTTTGTGTATTTTACGTCACTATATTATTTATTCTTACTTTGCCTATTTTTAGATAAATTGTGTAATGTCTTGTCCTTCATTTTTACTTTGTCATGTTTGGCACGCCATCGAGTCGGCCAGCATGTGAATGTTGGCGTTGGACTTGACAGATAAAAGTGAAATACTGAAAAATACAGACAGTGAAAAAAACTGTCCTAAGGGTTTTTTTTTTCCAAGTAAATATCACTTCAATTTTTTTCTTTGTACCATGTCGGGGTAGAAGGCGACTGCTCGGAACTCGTAGTCAGTGTCCTGTTCTAACTTGAAGAGGATGGGCAGGTCGATGATATCGGCGTCGTCCAGGCCCAGCTCTCGCTTCAGCACATCTCGGTTCCAGTCGATGCAGCTCTGAACAAAGAGGCACAGAAAACAAACAAAAAAAAAAATTTGAAATCAATTAATGCAGAAATTTGAAACGCCTTCCAGTGAAGCCCAGAAGAGGCAGTCCAGAGCTTCACATCTCATCAACATCATATTTGCGTGCAGTGTTAACTTCTCTGTTTATTAAACATGCTTATCTGGCACCTTCAAAGGGTGAGTAGACATACTTTATTTTGGGGTTCTGTATGTCTATTTTGTAGGATCTCTGCATTAAAAGTATCACTTGGATGCTTACAGCTAGTTTATAATCCGACTCACCTGCACGTAGTTGTTCTCAGCTTGGAATCCTTCGTCTTCGAGTATCTCGTCCACTGTGATTGGCTTTTGGTCATTCCGACCTTTGAGGAAGTAGATTGTTTTGCACTTTGAGGACAAAAAACAAAAATTGCACGAAAGTACAGACGTACCCTCAAAGAGTTTGGCCTGTCCATGACCGTTGTTCTTTAGGCCTCTGAAGAGCTTGTAACCCGCGTCCGGACTAGCCAGCAGCAGCCGAAAGCCCTGCCAGTGACGATGCGACAGACAAAAACAACAACACTGTCTGAGTGTGGCATCATGCCAGCATTGAAGAAAAAATAGAACAGCAAGCAAAGTCAATGGATGGAAGCATGTCGTAAATCTAACAATTTTACAAAAATTTCTCTCTTTCTATACAATTGAAAATCATGAACTATTTATATCGACAGTCATTTAAAAACATAGGGTGGACATCAACGACATTTTTTTCTTTTTTCTTTGGTACCATTGTCCCATGAATGTAGCACAACAACATTTGGAAGAGACTTAAAAACCATCTGCATAAATCTAGTTCCATGCATTTTTTTTTTCAGTTTACACTGCCATACATACATCAAGCATATTCTCATCGCGGCACTAGAAAACAAACAAAAAAAATAGGAACTGTGTCTTATAAACCATGTGGTGTAAATTTAACCTAAGACATCTTTTGATTTTACCTTTCTGTCTGGTGCGGGAACAAAGGTCATGAATTCATCCACGTGGCCAACGACCAGCCAGTCAGAAAACAAGGCAATAGGCTCTTGGACCTTCTGTGCCCACAGGAAGTCCTGAACCACTTTGGTCATGTTCCGTCCTTTCGTGGTTCTTAAATAAAAGACAAAGTTTTTCAGAATTGCTCTGTCTTGTCAAAGATTCCCCCCCTCTGCCCCCACCAAAAAAAGTGGTCTAAAGCAGGCCTACGTGGGAAATGCCACGCCGATGATGATTCTTCCCAATGGATACTCTTTGCCGTTGACCGTGACAGGAGGACTGACCTCCAGGTTGCCGAACGAGTCCAAGCTGCTCACATCTTTCCTCAGGGCCATTCTCGTAACGTAGCCAAAGTCAGGACCCTGAAAAGATCATTTCCAAATGTAACATTAAATGACTCTCTAAAGTGAATTCAAAGATGCATTTCGAAATACAACACACACTGTTTAAAGACGACAGCGGAAAACATGTTAAGACTGAGTACTGGTAGTACTGAACTGTCGCGTTTAGTGTTTTCATATTTTAAAGCCTCATTTTATATACTAGCTGATCTTTTTTAATCATTCAAATTTGGCAAGGTTGTATTCTCTATGTTATTTCACATTTATGTGTGACATTTACTGGTAGTACTGAACTGTCGCGTTTAGTGTTTTCATGATTTTAAGCCTCATTTTATATACGAGCTGATCTTTTTTAATCATTTAAATTTGGCAAGGTTGTATTCTCTGTGTTATTTCACATTTATGTGTGACATATTTCTTTTCACTTGACAGGGACTATAATGTTAAGCATTCAAGGAAGACCTGAAGTTGCTCACCAGTAGTTCACTGTATGGAAAATCCAGAAGTTTTCCATCTCTGGGGGAATCCAAGACCACAGGAAAGCGTTGATGCGGTGCTTCAATGTAACCAAACTCCAGCTCATCCTAGGGAAAAATGGCCTTAATTTAGATTAAATAAAATAAGTGACAAAATGGAAGCACAGTGGCCTATGGCACAGTGACTAGTTTTTGACTCTTATTGCTGACATCCTGGGTCCACATCTCAGGTCTGGACTTCCGACAGGATGTAGTGTTTGTATGTCTTCCCTGAGCTTGTGTGAGACGTTTCTAGCTACCTTCCATATTGCAAAGACATTTGTTAGGTTTATTGAAGACTCTAAATTAGTGTAAGTGTGAGTGGTTGTTTGTCCTGATGTGCCCTGTGATTGGCTGGCGACCAGCCCAGGGTTTCCCCTGACTCAAAGTCAACTTGGACAGGCTCCAACTCACCAGCCACCCTAATGAGGAAAACCTCTTCAAAGGGTTCAAATGGTTGTGCCCTGTAAATTCTGCCTATTAACAAGCAGCAACTCCCCACAACTGAATAAGTAATAATAATAATAATAATAATAATAACATCCATCCATCCATCCATTTTCCACCGCTTATCCGGGGTCGGGTCGCGGGGGCAGCAGCTTTAGGAGGGAAGCCCAGACTTCCCTCTCCCCAGTCACTTCTTCGAGCTCTTCCTGGCGGATCCCGAGGCGTTCCAAGGCCAGCTGGGTGACATAGTCTCTCCAGCGTGTCCTTGGTCGTCCCCGGGGGCTCCTGCCCGTGGGACATGCC